CTGTCGCAAACGTTCCCGCTATTAGGCCGGAGTGCACACAGATTTAGGTACAAACGACGCGCGATGTGACCTCAGCCGGTGCTACGCCGCACGCCGCGGCAATCACGCACAATTGCGTGGGTTTGATCACGCTGGCATGCCCTGCGGTCAGTGCACCCCCTGGCGGGCAGCCTTAATAGCGAGGCTAAAGAGCGGCTGTCGTAGGCGTCGTCAGCGGTCAGCCGGATGCGTGCCATCGGCACCGAGCAGCACCAGCATCACGGCCAGCTGCCGCATCGGAAGACCGGACGGATGGGTGGTCGGTCATGCCTCCCGCATCCTGCCCACTCGGCGCGCCCCTGGCCATGTCCCTGGCCACAGCCGTGCCTCAGGTCTGCGTGGACGGGGGCGTTTATGAGCGCGGTCACTCAGCCGGATCCCGGCCATTTGTTTGGCGCGCCGGGTGGGACTGGCGTGGGTTGGGGTGAGGATCGGGGGTCGAAGTGGGGGTGGGAGGGCTGGGAGGAAGGGGGCGGTGGGGCGGGGGAGTGGTGGGGTGCGTATGTGGACGGGGCAGTTGTGGAGGTCTGGGTGAAGGCAGGTGTTGTGAGCCCGGGCAGCGGCGCGATCCCGCAGCGTGCTGGTATACTAGAACGTCATCCCTCATCCCAACCATGCGGAGCGGAGCCCACCGCACACGACAGGTCATTGGATTAACAGAACGCGTTTTAGCGCGGACAGACCTGTTTCATGCCTCCTGATAATTGACGATGACCAGGCTATTTCAGTGTAACATGAGGTACGCAAACTCACGACTACCCACAACCATAAGGAAACAATGGCAGAGCACGGAAGGAAGAAGCTGATGCCTCCGCATCGCCGCGCTTGAGCCGCCACTGGCCGGGCTGTATCGCCTGCGAAATGAGTCTATGTCGGGCCGACAGGTCTGAAATACGGCGATCATCACTACCGAGTGACCGTCGCCATAGGCGCACCCAGCGAATATCTCTGGGGGACGTGTTGGGAGAACGTTCCCAGCGTCAGCTTCCATCCACCGAAATCACCGGAGATACCACGCGCGTTTTCAAGCGATTTAGTGGGCCACCAGCGGCCGCAGTTGCTCTCCTCGGCGGGGCCTGCGCGCGCCTCTGTTCATGGCGTCATATCCGCTCGGTCAGCGGCTCCGTCCAAAGTGGAGGTGCTCAGAACAGTTGGCGGGTGACGAGCGTCATCCGTTATGGCGGCTATCAAACGCCTCAGGCCGTCGGCGCGCCAAGTTCGCACGGTGACACATTTACGGCGGTGTGGACTTAACCTGCCAGGTCACGTAACTGAGTCGGGGCCAGCCATGCGCTGGGCAGGGAGGGGTGAAAATGTCTGGAAACGGAATGTTTGCCAGCCTGTTGCGCCCGCCCTGCGAGAAGCCTGGCAGCCGCCATGGCGCTGATTCGGAATGATCAGCTGACGACGGCTGCGCCCGGCAACGTAGCCGCGATCCGAAATGTCGTCCAGACAACGTAGCCGCGATCCGAAATGTCGTCTAGATAACATAACCGTGATCCGTGATGTCGTCCAGACAACGTAGCCGCGAATGTCGTCTAGACAACGTAGCCCCGATCCGAAATGTCGTCCAGACAACTTAGCCGCGATCCGAAATCTCATCTAGACAACGTAGCCGCGATCCGAAATGTCGTCCAGACAAAGATCCCGTCTTCGTGTCCGCGACCCACGCACGACGCAGCGGAAAACACGGATCGCGAGCTGGGCGTTGTTTTTGGCGCTGGAATCGGCGCCAGTCTGTGGGGCGTGTCGTCCACGCTGGCCCGGCGCCCGTGATCTGGCGCTTCCAGCCGATAACGCTCGCTCGCCGGCGGCGGCGCGACCGTTACAAACGGAGCCGTCAGACGGCCGTGACGTCACGCCCCGTCGTCTGGCGCTGATGACGTCACAGCTGGCCGTAACGACGGACACCTGTTGGCCCTCCGTCGACCCGGCAGGAAATTGCCACGGGAGGCGGCGTCAGCTGCTTGGACGACGCAGTCAGCTGTTTGAGGGCGTCGTCGGCTGGTTAGTGATGATCAGGTATGGTGAATGCGGTGCCTAGGATTTGGTAGTGCCGGTCCGGAAGATGATCAAGACGGCGAGTCTCATGTGCCGACATGATGATATAAATGATCATGTCAGTGATGACATAAATGAGACTCATGTGAGTCTCATTTAGATGAGATAAATAAGACTCATGTGGGTCTCATTTATGAAATTGAGGAAAGCTGCCGATAGCTTACAAGTTTCGGCTAACACAACACCTGCATGCCTGCACAACACCAGCTGTTTTAGATAAGCACCGCCATAGCCCTCAAATGCTTGCACTGCAATATGAGTGTAAACATTTGCCATCAGGAATCCCTCATCCTCTTTTGATGCACATTGCAATTATGCTGATCACTGGTCGTGGTCAGTGCAAGGCCTGGCCTAGGACACAAAACTGTACTGGTATGAGTGGAACATGAAAACACTACTAAATCCACAACACCAAAACAGCACCAAACAGTGGCGTTACAACCATCACTGGGCGTCTCCCAGTCAAAGAAATGCTGATTAGAAGACAGAAGTATTAGCCTTATTCCTCGGAAAACCAGGAGAATGAAGATATAGTTAGAACTTCTGCTATTGTTTCGATAAAAGCATGTTGCTGAAATACCAACCTAACTACATCTCCATTCTCCTGGTTTTTCCGAGGAATAAGGCTAATGCCACTGTCTCATGTATGTGAACAATGTTCCTCGCTAATGCACTGAACAACTCACATAAACGTTGATTATTGTTGTGTCCTGACCAACTAAAACGGCAACAAAGTGGGCGGGACTGCGGTAGCGGCGGGCGTACGGTGACGTCACTGATGTCCGACAAAGCCAAGCCCCCCGATTTCTCGCCACAGCTGGAAAAACAGAGCGGACGTTGAGGTATGCGGCATTATTACCCAGACAAATGGTGGGTCCGAGTCTCAGCCTACCGCATCGCTCTTCCAAGCACCTTGCAGGTTCGATGGACCGAAATAGCCGGACCTAATCCAGGCTTGAGCACCATCATCTGCGAGGCTGGCGGGCGGCATACCGATCACTGGCTGCCTCTCGCACCATGAATGGGCAACTCTGCTGCATCACAAGGCAGCGGGGAGGTCGGGTGCAGCAGCACTCTTAATGCGCAGCGTACCGAGTTGTTCTGAAGGTGGACTGTAGTGACCTGATATCGGAACTGTATGATGAACTGGTGTTTCACCTATATAGCGAGCTGGCAGGGTAAGTCACGAGCTAGGTGACGCTGAGATGCAACCATAGGACGGACCCTATGGTATGACGTTGGTCACCTGGCACTTTTTAGTGGTCATTTCTGGAAAACCTACTCAAGGTAAATTCATACTAAGTTGAAAAACTTTAACTGATCCATTTTGTAGACGCATAAAAAGTGTGACGATTTCTGTAAGAACCGGATCTTGAAATGCTGCACCTATGTCACTTGACCTTGTCAACTGACGTTTTGTTTACGCCTAAGGCAGCTGGCCTTTCTTTGACAACTATTTTGGAAATGTCATCTACATAGAGCAGTGTTAATTTGATACAAGCGACATTTGTAGAATTCATGTATATAGGATGAGCATAAATGCGATCTTCGTAAGAAATGAATCCGAACTTGTGGCAGCTACGCGAGTTAATTCTGACAGTTGAGGTTTTGTCTACATTTTGGCCACAGCCGCGTCCGGCATCTCCGGCATGGGCAAACAAAGATCAGCTGATCCAGACTTGTCTTGATCTAAGTTGTTGGCACCACCTTGCGACCTAGCTTGCTTTCTATTATAATGTTTCATTTAAGACAGTTTCACCAGTTTCGAGTGTGACGAGGTTGCGGATTAGCGAATAGGCACAGGGGAGAGTAGTCGTTATTGGGGTTTTGCGACGTGCTCAGCTGCTGAGGCTATGTAGCGTTGCCTGCCTGCCACCTTGGCAGGAAGGGAGAGCTCTGTGGGGAATCGAACCCCATACCCTAGCAGGAAGGGCGAGCTCTGTGGGAAATCGAGCCCCATACCCTAGCATGAAGGGGAGCTCCGTTGGGAATCGAGCCCCATACCCTAGCAGGAAGGGCGAGCTCCGTGGGGAATCGAGCCCCATACTCTAGCAGGAAAGGCGAGTTCCGACGCGAAGCGAACCCCATACCTTTGGTTTCCCAAACGTACGAATGGCAACGGAGAGGAAAGACGTTTCTTACATGGAGCTGAACTAACGGTGCCTTTTCTGTCCTGGTGCTCATTAATATCATCGATGCCAAATATTAAGCTGTGGAGCAGGGTCAAGACGGTAAAAGTGTGAAACATTACCACGGCGCGAAAACAAACAGTTAAGTGCTTTAAAAGACGTAATACACCAGCCAAGATAAACACACGCTTGCGTTAGATATCACACGTCGAGGCCCAAGATACGTCCATTTTTAATGCGACATTTCAAACCACGTACTCCTGTGACCACCGTACCGAAACTCATTCTCATTATACAATATTGACTTGCTTTGAAGGAACGTGATAACATGTAACGTGCACTTGAGCCGCACTCGGCGAATTAGCCGAGTATGGCTTGCATAACCGTGTTCACGCTGCCGCTCGAATGCTTATTTACTTCGCTTTGGTCCAATGGCAAAAAACAAGAAAGCAGCAAGAGTGAAGTCGTCACACGAATCGGATTCGGGGCGCCGATGCGTTCATCTGGTTCACCACAAGATCCCAGCGTCCCTTGGAAAACCGTCTCCCATGCTTTGCGCGCCTCCGCGCCGTTGGGTCGCCGAGCTGATGAGCAGCTAATACCATGATCGGTGTCGTTGGTAGTGATGACTTCGTTTAAAACCTTGTGTGTGATGTAGGGGGGGGGGGGGGATTGTGGTCTCTGGTGTGTGGTCGTGTGTGGTCTCTGATGAGGTGCTATGCTGATGCCACCTGATGGGTGACCACCCAATGACCCCCTGCTCCGTTGCAGGTCTGACGGCGCGGCGGTGAGGTCATGACACCGCGGCCGCCGCCGGCCGTGACCTCCGTGACCCTGGTGACCCTGGTCGGCCTGGCGAGCCTGCTCGACCTCGGGTCAGCCCGTTGCCCGGGCCAGTGCCGCTGCGACCGCAAGATCTCCGACTGCAGCCACGCGCGCCTCGACACCGTGCCCATCATCCTCAATCCGCGCATTCACATCCTTCGACTTCAGGGCAACAACATCGGTAGCATCGAGGACACGCTCGGCTTCTACGCGCACCTGCTTGAGCTGGACCTGTCCAACAACAGCCTCGACTCGCTGCTGGAGCAGCAGTTTGTGCGACAGGGTGACCTGCAGCGACTGAACCTGAGGAAAAATCGCGTCACTGGCCTGATGCGCTCCACGTTCGAAGGACTTGACAGGCTCACGGAGCTGGACCTCAGCGACAACATGCTTACCACGCTGGAGGCAGGCGTCTTCAAGTGGATGGAGCGTCTGAAGCACCTCAACCTAGCGAGGAACAGGATACGAATGATATCCCGCGACGCTTTTGAAAACGTTTACGAGCTGCTTACTCTGGAGCTTGGGGAGAATGACATCAGCCACGTGCCGTCAGATGCCTTCCGTCATCTGGGGACGCTCCGCGTTCTGCGCATTGGTCACAACAGTCTCCAAGAAGTGCCTTTCCATGCTTTCTTTATGCTCCAATCGTTGCGCAACTTGACGCTTGCCCACAACCGTATTTACCGGATACACCCCGAGGCGTTCGCGGATCTCCTCGAGCTGCGTCGTCTGGATATCGGCTTCAACGAGCTGGACAAGTTCCCAGCCACGTCCCTGGCTCTCCCAGGTCTGGAGGTGCTGCACGCCGGGGGAAATCGCTTCTCCTCGCTACACGTGCATCATATGGACAGTCTGCATCGGCTGCGCGTTCTCCGAGTCTGTCACAGCCAGGAGCTGTCCTCAGTGACGGGACATATCTTCAGCAACAACCTCCTCCTGGAGGAGGTCCACCTGTGCGAGAACCCGCAGCTGACGTGGTTTCCCCCGGAGGTGGTAAACACGCTGCCTAACCTCAAAGTGCTTAATCTCGGCGGCAACAGCCTGGGCACGCTGGAGAACATGACGTCGCTGCTCCAGCGCGTCGAGGCCTTCAACGTGAGCGGCAATCCCCTAGTGTGCAACTGTTCGGCGCAGTGGCTGTGGGACCTTCCCGCCCACCTGCCAAACACCTCAGTGCTCTCCCCGATCCGCTGTGTGGACTCGGGCCGCCTTCTGACTGAGCTCAGCGAAGCCGACCTCGGCTGCGGCACGTGGCTCGCACCACTGCTCGTCGCCGTCGCCGCGTTCGTGCTCGTCTTCTGCGCCATATTTGTCGCCCTGCTGCTGCTGCGCAGGCGGCGGCGGCGCGATCGCCAGCTCACGTGCATCCGGGACGTGCGGAGCTACTCGAACCAGTGGGAGGACATGCTGAGCGACGCCGACGACGTCAAGGGCAGCCGCGTGTTCGGCGATGAGGTGAAGGCGAGCCGGATGTTCACGCAGGTGGATCCGGACTACGGCTCGCTGTCCAGGCTCGAGCACTTCACTTTCCAAAGTCCCGAGCACCAGAAGAAGATTCCCGTGACGGTCGTGTGAGGCTTTGTCGGGCATGGGAGGCGGGGCCACACTCTCATCTTGCTTCCTCCTCCTGGACAGTGACGAAGAGTCCTGCCGGTTTTCTATGGAGAGTTTAGACGCCTGGTGCTCGGGCAAGCGCTGTCTCGAGGCGGCGTGTCCCGCTTCGCTCCGTCCGAGCGCGCGCTTCGCCGTCTCCACGCCGCGAGGAGACCGTCCGCTTGTTCCTCTGAGCAATAGACATCGACTGCGCCGGTATCGTCACGGCGGCATGCGCTTTACATGCAACGACCCTGGCATAACGAACCGTGACCAGAATAGCGGCGCCCATTGCTGGAATAAATATCTCGGGCAGTTCGTGGGACACGTTGGGGGCTACCCTAGACATCAAAACGGTTATCACGTGATGTGCCATGAGTGGCATGGAGCGAAACACGTTTCGCCTCGGGCGGCTGACATCAAAACGGTGGTCTCGTGCAAAAGAAGCGCATGTGCTCGGCATGAGTCGTGAAGAGACATGCCCTACTTCACAGGCTACTGGCAAGCGCTCTGATGTCCATGCTTTATCGTTTTCTGGTGGGCGTTGTGACCATTGGTGCACTAGGCATTTCGAAATGCGTAGCGGCATGTGAGATAGCATGTACAGAAGTCACGATAAGATTTTCACGGATCTGCGCAAAAATCATGGAAAGGTTATCAGAGGAAGCCAAACAAACAAACGTAGGGCTTAAACAAAGTTCCAAGACCTGAAACTTCCTCCTGCGAACCTGGCTTAGCGTTATTATATCTCAAGGCGCCGGATAGGTTATGTATCCCTCTGGATAACTGGGACGAGGGATTTTATCAGCAAAAGTTATCAGACGAACCCAGATGTTGCGCCTTACGTCATGCATACCGCGACCTGGTTATTTTCTAGATCACTTTCTGGAGAGCTCTCTTCTTGAGAGACCTGCTTTCAGTAAAAACAACCAGATACCGCCAATGGTGCACCATGATTCCTGATGCTCCGATCTTCACAGGCGCACAAGCCTGATCGGCATTTTGACAGAAATGGTGAGCGCGCATCCACTAGCCTCGAACAATAAGCTTTTCCGAGCAAAAATAGCGTTTGGGCTCAGGTAAGTCTGTGTGTGCAATGGCGCGTAAGTGAGAGAAAACTATTTTCCTACACGAAGTTTCGCGACCGTTTGCTGGTCTGGGTGGCTATCTTTACAATGCTATTTATATACACGATATCTTTGGTGACTTACCATAGCAAAGAGATGGCATATGATAACACGATTAGGTTCATGATAATCCCATGTCTTACCTTTACCGAAAATATACGGCTGCTGCTGTTGCCGTCCTCGGTGCTGCCACACTTGCCCTGCCGGTGCAGTCCTTCCTTTAACGCGATACCTGGCGCCGCTACTGTCATGAGCCCAGGGAGCCTGCAGCCGGACCCGGGAGCCGGTGGGAAGGCCCGGCCCACTCGAGTTCATCACACATCGGCCAACTTGGCCACGCGTGATCAGAGCGGCCGGGAGCCCATTCGCCGCCCGGCTGACCTCTCGTTAGCCGCCGACCCAAATATAGCCGGCGGACAGGGGCGTGGGACCAGGAGGCAGCCGGCGAGCAGGGGCAAAGGACCAGGAGGCAGCCGGCGAGCAGGGGCGCAGGACTAGGAGGCAGCCCCCCCCCCCCCAAATACAGCCGGCGAGCAGGGACGTAGGACCAGGAGGCAACTGGCGCCCCCCCCCCCCCCCACACACACACCACCCAAATACAGCCGGCGAGCAGGGACGCAGGACCGGGAGACAGCCTCCCCTCAATACAGCCGGCGAGCAGGGGCGTAGGACCGGGATTCAGTCGCCCCCTCCCCTTCCGCCCGCTGCGCCGGGGACGTTAACCCCGCTTAAGTATGGCAGCGGTTACAGCGGCGATGGTGCAGAGACGGCTGCCCATGCCTGCTGCTTCGCTCGGACGGTGTCTCTGGTAGTGTCGCTGCCTCCGCCTACAGGCCTCCGCTATCCCGCCCCGGAGGCGGAGACGTGGAATGCTATAAAGAACGACGACGCATGTTTGAAAACATGAACTCCCTGCTTCATGGACAAGCGCTTCAACCAAATAAGTCACGATATTACGGTAGTAATGGCCTTATTCCTCGGAGAAAAAAAAAACCAGCAAAATGGAGAAATAGATTGGTTGATATTTCGGCAACACGCCTTTATCGAAACAGTAGCAGAGGAGCTATTATTACCGCCTGCTATTGTTTCGATACCTGCATGTGTCTTCTGCTTTTGTTTCGATAAAGGCATGTTGCTGAAACATCAACCAATCTACTTCTTCATCCTCCTGGTTTGTCTCCGAGCAATAAGGCTGATACTAATGCCTTATCTGTGTGAATAACGTTCCTCACAAATGCGCTGAACAACTTAAATAAGTCAGGAAGCCGCCATATCGCACTTGCCACGTGATTTCGCCGAACATGTGGCGGCGCTTTATCTACCGGAGCGACGCCGCAAACTCAGGTGACGCGGGCAGGAAGCAGCCTTGATTTAGTCCTCACCGGGAAGTTCGGCGCCAATTTCCGTGTCGCAACTTCAATGCTGAAATGTCACCCTGCAAGTCCTGCCGGTAAGTGGCTGTGGGCCCCCATAGCTCATCAAAATTCAAAAGCGTCGCCGACTCTGCCTGTCAGAGGGTCATGGCGGTGACGAAGCGTGGAACTATTAGCGAATCAGCGGAGATCTTTTAGGGGTTCGAAAGGTGGCTGTTACGTGTTATATCTCGTGTTAAATCGACCGTGTCAGTTATTTATGTCTTTCAAGAAGTGCAAATATGCCGATACACTTGTGGCACAGATGTGACAATTTGTGGATCTGTAATCCGGGGACTAATCTAATTCGTGCTGTGTTTTACTGGGGACCGCTGGTAACCCTGAATGTCAATAGGGACAGACTCATCAACATGCGTCCATGCATCGAAACGAATCGTCTGAACTAGGCGTGGAACAAGCAGATGGACTTCATTTTCGAAATCATCGCTCAAAGCTACAACGAGAAAAATAGCAACAATTGTATCGTGGATGATGTTTGCTTGTCTGCATAATGACATACACAAACACGCGACTCTTTTCGTTCCCAATGCTTTCCTCGACAAAACAGAACCCTGGATCCTGGTTCGCGTTGGCTCCTGTCACAAAATAAACCCTCTGTGCTGTGTTCTGCTGGATCTTTCGACAAACCAAATTCCTGGATCTTCGTCCTCACTGGTTCTATCGGAAAATCAAAACCATGGATCCTGGTTCCCACTGGCCCCTTCACAAATTCCAAGCACTGGACCCTGGTACCCTCTGGTTCTTCAGCAGACCGTGGGTCTGGTTAATGGTTCCTAGTTACCATTGGTACTTTCGAAAACACTAGACCTTGCAAGCTAGTTGTCACTGATTTAAAAAAATAAATACAGGAACCTGACTCAAGTTTCCCAGGCACTAAGCCATGTGAGCCGCACAGGAAAACCAAAATAGTTTTGCTTTCACGTGTATTAAATAAAATACATCACAGGCAAGCTGAACAAAATGTATGTTATGATACCACCAATGCAATTAACAAAGCCCAGCTGCTAGCTATAGACCATTTGCCTGCAGGTTACATGTAAACGCCTGATAGCTGAAACTGCTATACAGGATAACCCCCAAATCTGCTCTCACACCACGGAAAAGTCACCCACCACAGGCAACTAAAGCAATCAGCATACCCTGAAACCACCACTGGAACGAACAAATCTTAACTGCTAGTTGAAGATCATTGCCTGTAGCTTAGCAGCGAATGCCTGACAGCTAAATCTATCACACGCAAATCAGGTAATTAAAATTGCTAACAATCAACTTTCACATTGCAATGAAAGTCACACACCACAGGCAAGTCAAACAGCATGTCCTCATATCACCATTATAACCAATACAGCTTTACTGTAAATTGAAAATCATTGCCTACAACTTAGAAGTGAATTCTTAACAACTGAAACTACCACCTGAATAATCCACATATTTGTAGTAAAACAGTTAGGGCGCGCCCGAGTGGCCGGTTGAATACCATTCTCTCGAGTGGGGGAGGGGGGCAATTTGACCCACTCCAGAGATCTCAAAAACTAAGAGAGCTGGAGACACGAAATTCACGGAGTGTGTTGGCCTGCACGTGAACTCACTTCCGTCAAAATTTGGGGTGTCTAAGTAATGTCCTTACCTCTTCTAAGCAAAAGATCACTGGAGCTCATTTCAGGTCAGCGACCTTGCTTGAACCTTCGCAGGTCATGGTAACCAAAATTATACAAGACTGCTTTAAGTGTTGTAGTTGAATAAGCGTTAAGAATTTGCACTAGGCGGTGTGTTCCTGAAGGCAAAATGTTGACCGGGATGAATTTATGACAGTGACCTATGCTGACCTTTAGAAGCCCATTGAAAATGCAAAATGTGGTGCTTGTTATCAACAATCTCAAAATGAGCACCAGAAACTATCCCAATTAGCAAGCTCCACGTAAAAAAATCAGATTAGTTTGGACCTCGGTCTGATCTTCATAGCTGACCCTTGGTCAATGTAATTTGTTCATGCAGTTGCTGTGTTGCCTAAGGAACGATTTCAGAGATGTATGACTTCGCCTAACACTCCGTTGTTGCATCAGATCGAGTGATTTCTTAGAAATTGTCCTTGCTGAACCCATGGCCCGACTTTGACCTGCCTTAGGGTAGTGACCGCACAATCTACATCTATCTTGTTCGAATATAAACGTGCCGCTATTTAATTGTATATAGCTATGTAAAACTTGATGCGGCTACGCCGCGTTGTTCGGAGCCCATTATGGAAAAACCTTCGGGGTCAGATCTATCCCCGCTCCTACCCGACCGCTTGTTAATGCTGTCCAACCAACAGGGCTCCCTAAAATGCCACAAAAGTTGCAGCTGCCAGAGTGGCAGTACTCTTTTCTTTGAAAAAACTTCGTATCTTCCTCAACGGAGGTGTGGCAAATGAGAGGGCCAAAAGGGGCTGAGAATCCCGACGTTTGAAAAATTGATAATAGCTCTATATAATATGTCCAAGCCATGCTTAATGAGCATGGCTTGGACAGATTAGGACAGGCTCAAGATAGATTAGGACAGATTAAAACAGGCTCAAGAAGAGCATGAGCATTCCTTATGTCTTTCTTGAGCCTGTCATGCTTGCGAATTTCTGTGAACTGGCGTCCTTCTTTTTTATTTCGAAACAAGATGCGGTCAGAACCCACGGTCGGATAACATATGAGATGGATGAGATACAGATCAGAAATCCGACACTGGCACAACCAGAGTGCTACGGCTAGTGCGGTCTGGT